TTTGTGTACAGAACTGTCAAGTTAAGTAGCACTGAAGGGTTTATTGAGAGAAATCCGTGACTTAGTACTATTCAACTAAAGCACTGCAAATATTTGTACATATTATATGTAATCATTAAAATTTATTCATTTAATTTTTATTGAAAAATTTGACTTAGACTTTATAGAAATTTTTTTTATTACCTCTCTTTATTTACATAAAATGTTAAATTCGGTAATATCTTTATAAATAACGCTTTTTGGAACTTACAAAATTGATAAATCTTGATTTGAGCATCAGCTTTATGATATAAAACCATAAAAAATTGTGTTACAGGATCATCAAGTATGATGTTTTGACTGCGTCTCAAATCATTAATTACGCGTAGACACCACCCGCATGGCATCCAATCAGATATGGTGTTAAGATTGATGAAAGCTAATTAAATGCCTTGATGTTCGTAACAGATAAAATTAGATACACTTATTAATTTTATGAGCTCCTAAAGTTTTGTCGGCAGTTGTCCCGGTGCAATATGTGCTTTTGAGTGTATTTTCACACGTTTCTTTGATATTAAGGTTGAGATGTATTTATGACATTCTAAATATTGATGCTTTGCGTTTTACTTTTTATATTTTAAACCTCATGTATTAATTAAAACGCCCGTATACATTTTGTTGTTTCAGGAAAAACTGAACAGTTTGTATATATAAGTACATTATCTTTTCTTTTTACAGGGTGATTTGCTCAGAACTCTTCATAAATGTTGAAATTATTACAATTATCTTTTGTCTAAATGGAGATAATCCCTAGGTATACATAAATGATAATAAGTTCAGTATATTCAATTTCCAATCGATTTTCACTCTTAGAAACTTTAATGAAAATGTATACAAATGTGATTGTAACAAGCAATGAATTTTTGTTTCCCTCCGCCTGACTGGGTTAAAAAAAAATTTCTTTCGTCAGCCAAGGTTATCAAATATACCTTCTGTCTTTGACAGCCATTGGTATCCATGTAATTTTTTAATACCGTGTACTTATTTTCATCCAATTTCCATGCGATTTATATCTTATTTTTCATAATCTTATCAAAGAAAAGTCTTATGACAATAAGTTACTATGTTTTTATCTTTCGTTTACATGTCAAACGTTTGAAATACGGTTATTTTTATTTTGAAACCACCATTACAGAAAACACTTTGTCAGGAAATATTTTTTATCGATATAACAAGAAATATTTGTTTCTGTTTGTAAAGAAATTTAACGTATTGAAGAATATATGCTGTTTTGTACTTAAATCAATCCTGTAAACCATCTTAGTACATTATGGCAGTCGGCTGTTAGTAAAATGTCTAAATTTAGGAAAGTTCAAGAATGTGAGTGTCTTACAAATGTTACCATAATGATTATTGACGATGAAATTCATATTGACTTTACTTGTTCAGTTTGGGTCCATAACTTTTTGCTTTTGTAAAATAAAGCATATTTTATACTAACATTTGCTGTTGACTTCACTCCTTTTATCCGACGAAACATTATAATATATTACTACTTTGTATTCTAATGTGAAAGGAAAACTTATATAATATGAGTTCAAACATGTCAGGTATTATAAATTCAGCGTCTTAAATTTGCATAAATTTGATTTATTTTCTTTGAAGTCAACGATGTATTCTTAATTTCCTATTATTCTTTCATTTTACATTAATTTGACATACATGTAGCATTTCAATGTCTCATTAAAGTTCACTCTTTTCAAAATATTCAAAGCGTTTTGTTATATCTAGAATCACTACTTAAGAAGTCATATTACTTTCAACGGAATTGTTCAACTTTGAGAGAGTTTGTGCTGTACATGTATCATTTTCTATTTAAATATTACATGACACATTTTATAGTGTCAAAAAGAGTTAGTCGTTCTACTTGATATATTTTATGGTGTCAAAAGAATAAATCATGCTACTTGACACATTTTATGGTCTCAACTGCGTAAATCTTACTACTTGACACATTTATGGTGTCAACCGAGTAAATCAGGCTACTTGACACATTTTATGGTTTACAATGAGTACTTCATGCTACATGACGCATTTTATGGTGTCAACTGAGTGATTCTTGCTACTTGACATATTATACGATGTCAGACGTGAAAATCTTGCTACTTGAGCATTTTATGGCCTCAACTGAATTATTTATGCTACTTGACACATTTGATAGTGTCAGCTGCGCAGTATCATCGTCCTTTTTATCCTATTACATGCTTCAAGTGGGACAATTACATACCGTTAAGATGTTTCTCTAACCTAAAAATATAAATTGATAAAGTATTACGTAAGATAACAGCAACATTAGTCTGATAAGACTACTTATAACGGAATCAAATGTCTGAGACAGACAGCAATTTTCTGGTATCGCTATAAATGCTTGATATGATAAAAATAGTTTCAGCTATTTCTGAAAGAAGAATAAAAAAGTCTACAGTGTACCCTGTAAATTTGTGTAATTAGTTAGTTATTTTGTTATTTAATTGCTTCTTTACTAGGAATTAAGCACTTACACAAAAGGTTTTACGATTGACAAGTCTGATTTCAGTATAATTAATTAATCATTAATATGTCTTTACGCTAATCTTACTAAATCATCTATATTTCAGTGCAATACTTACTTCAAAGCTGAAATAAGTGAACATTGCTATGAACTGACACCGTCATCTTTGTTAATTTAAAAAGCAATATATCTGACGGAAACCATGGATTTCACTATAGTTATCAGATATTTCAGCCATTATATAGTCCAGTGTTAAATAATACATGACCGGCTCTACTCACAGTTCGTACCAACACAATATAAGTAAAATGATGACTTCCCAGCTGTTCTAGTGGAGGAATACCTCGGTGTCCTTGTGTGCAGTATTTAGGCACGAGCGGGTGTCTGAGTAGAACGAACCATCGACGGTCCATAAGCTAGATGGATAGCTTCCACACATAAACGAATCCAAAGTCCCATGCAGGATTCGATCCAACAGTGCAAGTGGTTTGATATCAACGACCTTAAGCATCGGCCACGGACGCCCACATTTTTCGAAGTAAATATTAGTTTAAAAATAAAATTTTATAACATAAACATTACATCAAAGGCAATGGTCAACAATTCGTAAGCAGATCTCGACTCAGACAATATTAAATTTCCAATGTTGGTCAATGATTTGGCATCTGTAAAAATATATCGGCCTGTTGTAATATGTTTTACTACGAGGTTTTCATCCAGCATTAAAGCTTGAAGTCAACAAACTACTTAACAAACTACAAACTACTTGTTTCTGTGACTTAAAACTGTAAAGAAACAATGATTAATTCATTGCCATCTCATATTTTAAGGAAACATGGTATTGCCTAGGCATGTTATTACTCAGAAATAGAGAAAAAAAGGAAACCTTAAAGAAAGTGCAAAAGGCAAAATTGAAACTGTTGAAGGCTTGGTTTGATTGAGCCTGTTCATAGACGGTACTGTCAAGTGCAAACTACCGTCCACGCCCCTGACACTGGCTTAAGCAGAATTCAACATTTAAGCATGAAAATGGTGGAATTTTGAATTTAGAAACATCCGCAGATGTATACATACTGCGGTTATTATAGAACTTTCAATGTGACACTTTCGTGCCATGCTATGAAAAGCTGCGTAATGTCCGCAAGTAACAGAAAGCGTGTGACAGCCAACTATAGGTGTTTGGAATAACAAATCTGTTTCGTAACACGTTTCTACAGACTGTCAAGACGGTATTTCTATATTAATAGCGTTTCTCCTATGACTAAATATCATTTGGGATTCATTCAAAATTGCTTCATGTCTAAATGAAACAACCACCTTGGTGTTGACTAATAATTAAACTGGGCTTACAGCATTTCGTTTCAGCAGGAGCACCATGAATTAGTTCCCTTTTCATTAATTAATATTGCGTGTTAAACAGATATTATATAAAATTCATTTGTGTTTGTTTGTCAATCAATATTGTTCATTTCTATGTCATGTATGTGTGTTTTATTTTTAAGCTATTGTATACGGTTTATATTTATTACATATCAGACAGGAATTTCAGCTGTTTACACCAGTGTTAGAAAAACCTGGCAAACAATGCTCCATCCCCTTGTAAGACAACATTTGTGTTTTGAATGCTACTATTCTATTGGCGCGTGCTATTTATGTTAGGATGGCGTTTTTTCGCTTTTATAAATGAAGTTTTAAATTCATACACTGCATCAATAATAAATGCTAAATAGAAATATTAATTTTATTTATTTTTAACCGAAAATTCTTGGCGAGGAAATGAATCTTACCGCGGATGGATAACTTACTGTTTGAAACTGTTTTGCGGAAACTCGATTGAGCCTTGTTACTGCCGTTAACTGTTACTCTCAAGCTAGATTTTTTGGTCCGTACTGGCAGCAAAATTCTTTTACGATCGATGAATTTAAACCGTTTATAACATGAACCCGGTGATGATTAGTGCAACGTCTTTTTTCTGTTTTATCATAGAATATGAGGATTCAAAACTAAATACTACAAAATGAATTCGTGTATGGCACCTGTTGTCACCATCATACTGTCATACCTTATGCTTAAATAAACTGTGTCGTGTTTACTTATATTTTTACAAGCATGCATTGAAGGGTACACTTTGTACATGAAAAGTCAAAGGCTTAACGTTTAAATGAATTTTACTTTATCCTGCTCCGAGAACAAAATATAAAATGCTTATTAATTGCAAATTAGGGTTTAAATAATTCAAAAACAAATACTAATGGTTTTTAACATAGTGTACTTCAAAAATAGTATTGTGATTTTAAGAATAATCAAATAATATTTAGTAAGCACGAATGATGTTATAACATTTGTTTCAGCAAATATAATTACGAAACCCTTATTGTTTTGTTATTGTTCATTTCTAGCATTTTAAAATTACTATTTACTTAGATCCCTGACCTGTTTAATTATAATTGTCAGATTAGTGGATACCACAACATATTTGTTAACATAAGAGCACATGTCAATGTCTATGGTTAAATTTATTGTTATTCAAATAAAAGGTCAGAGAAGGGATCTATCAATCATATCAATCCATACATGGAATTAAACAAAAATGAAGATGTGATAATGTCAATTAAAAATACTTCATACCAAAAGTGAAATATGTATGAGAAAAGAAAGCGTAATGTATTACAATGACTTAACTAAACTTCGTATAAATCATAAAGAAAGTACAAAAAATAAAATGGTTTGTATTGTATAAAATTGCTTAATGGCATAAGTGCATAGCAGAAACTATTAGATTATAACATAGAAATCTCGAACGCGTCAATGTGTCACACTAATTCAAAGACAGTAAAAGCCACAAAATCTTAAACTAACACTGTTGCCGCATACATCCATCAATGCAGAACATCTGTCATTTTTATTTTGCGGTTGTTTGTAAGTTATTGTTTGTTTTTGTTGGTGCTTGAATATTTTCGTTTGGAACTTGAACTTTTATCATTTTTCTCCACAGAACTGCCAAACAGATGACTGTCACCAGCTGAATCAGTGCAAGCACAGCAATACCTATATTAGCAGAGTGTCCTGAAAGATAGTATCAAAATGTGAGGCATTCTTCTATATAGAAATATAACTATCTTAGAAATATACATGTATATATTCAATACTTCAAATTGCATGTCATGACATAACAAAGAATATGTTAGAAGATTATTGTTGATTTTTGTTTGAATGTGTTTTTTCTGGTTGTTCACTGATTTTCACAAATTTTGGTCATATCTCGACAATGATACCACTTAATCGGCTTTCTTAGATATTGCTCATTTCTCCGTAAGTCACTTATTATTTTTCTCACATGATTTCTGAATTAGCGGTGAGAGATGACATATTAGCACACAGCGTGCGAGATCAAGTATTACCACTATTAATGCTATAAGCAACTGCATTTCTGTTGATCGCTAAAATTGCCAGTTTCTAACTTACTATCAATCTTCATAGCTGATACTGATTCGGTCATAAATATATGTCATAACAGCGGTTTATCCATTACTTCTGTTGACAGTAGCACAATTAGACGGGTATCAGGTATACTCTTCTTCATATTAACGTATGAAGTAACAGGGGCTCTTTTTTGTGATTCTTTATGATACATTATTGCGTCTGTACCATTTAAAGCCCCTAAACAAACTAGACGGACGAAGAAAGCATAAAACTTTATACGTTTTATAGTTAAATATGAGTAAAAGTAATATTTTCAGAAAAATCCAAGACCTGACTGATAAGGTAAATGAAGTATGCAGATAAGATTTTATATTATTCCACTTAATTATGCATGTCAGTTTAGTTCATACAAAAACATCATTAAATTATAAACAACAAAATGAAATTTGTTTTATATACAACAAAGTTCTATGACAATTTGTAAATAAAAAATGAATATTATCTATTTTGACATGGGAAGCTGTTTTCTGTATACATTTCAACATTATTATTGATCCCAGAGATATGATTCTAATATTATATGAGTCGCATTTACATGAATATCTGGTTTATGTGTAAACCATTGTCAATACAAACCGTCACAGCTGCTGCACGGTTCATTAACTTGTGAGTATTTCCCAGCCTGATCTTGCAACATTCCAATTGATTTATACAAGTCCGATATAGATTCTTCTATGCCGTTTATATCTTTACTTGATAAAGAAGTTTCTTCAACAGTCTTTAGTCTATCTTTTATCTCATCTATATCGGCACTTGGAACGGCATAAGAGTCCTTATTTGCAAACTGTTGACCGAGCCAATGCTGCCGAAATATCACTAGGAACAAGGACATTATGATAGGTTGCAGCAACGCTATCCAGCTAAAATTAAATGAGCAATATTTTCATTTGATTAAAACATTTTGTTATTGTGATTATTCAAATGCAAGTGTACATCTGTAAGCACTTCAATTAAGCAATTGGTATATTTTAATACTTAGTATAGTAATTATTCAAACCAAACCACAACGGGTCCGGTCCATTTCAATAGCAATGGAAAAGGGAACCGGGGTCCGTCAAGGGCAATAAAACACAGAAATGAACATTTAAATATACACTGTACACGAAAGATAATTATCAGTGCACAACATCTCCCCCATTCCTTAGCACAATGTGAAGAGGTATTTAATCTTTAACACTAATATATTGGAAACAATGACTCCAAATGTCAAGAAATATATAATTACACTTAGGGGAGGTAACAGGAAACATTTACCGAAAGAAAATATCCCAAATAAATATAAGAATATTCAGTGAATATGCAACGAAAAATGCAAAATATAACTAAAATGCCTTACCATCCATCTTGCTGTCCACTTACTGATATTTATCAAAAGCCGAGTATTTCTCCATACTCAATTGTGATCACCAAAGAAAAAAATGTATACAAAAAAGAAGGTAAAAAACTAAAAGTATTATTAAAAACAAACCTTATCCATTCCATAGTTTATTTTTAATTGAATTTATGTGTAAACCTTCAAAACTATTCCTATAAACGGAACACACTGTTCAATTGAGTATTACATTCCAGCTTGTCCCAGATGGCGCGATTGATCGGGTCTTTAAGAAATGGTGACAGCTGTTTTCACTCGGATGTAGATCATCTGTTTAGTAAATCCAATAGGAATCCAACTCTTTCTCATACATGTCATAAATGAAAAGATATATTATCTTTAAAATGTAGCCATAAAAAAATTCATTTAAAGTTTTTGTTATGTCTGAGAAAGTTGTGAAATTCAATAGCCCCCATAATTTTGGTGCGCAACCAAAATCATTGACCTGGTAGTGTTGGAACAACTAAAACATCCGACTCATTTTCCCTGATTCCCTACAGTGCCTGAGATGTGATCGTGGTTACAATTGACTATTTAATTACATTCAAAAAGTATTTAATATCCGAGAAATTTTTAACAAACAATAAGTAAATAAGCATTTTTTTTACTTTATCAGTGAGCTTTGGTATTGCCTTTTACAAGTATGGACAGGTTGAATATTTTGAATACTTTTGCTTTGATGATATATTAATTGTATCATAAAAATATATTCCCCAGTTAATACTTGAAACAGTCACACATCAGAATGATTTAAAATCAAGGAAAGTATTGAAATGTTGATAAAGTACTGAGGAATGAAAGAATGCCAGTTACACTAATTAGTTTCATTTTGGAATTGAATTGAAGGGTGGGTTTACATTTATTTTCCATTTACGAAAAATAAATGTAAAGAATCAGGGCTGCAAATAAGATATTTTGTGAAATACTTTAGAATTGTTTTTAGTTTATTGAAATCATTCTTTATCACACTTCTTTAAGATCAAAATGTCTGAATAATTTGCACATATGACAAAATAATATATGTCGCTGTATAACAAGGCAATTTGATCAAGATGTGTGTTGACAATCTTGCAGTCAGTTTGTTGATAATAGAAATAATCAAAACTTCCATCAAATATGCATCGCATATCTATAAAATAAGCGCGGTTTCATTGTTGAATGCTGATATCCTTGATTCTCTCAACTGAAAGGCATTTGTAGTATTATTGACATAAAAGTATTGTTGCATTCAAAAAGCCAAGAATGAAAAGAAAATACGTTAAATTCACTCAAAACATCCTGCGCAAAAAAAAGAGAAAGAATTAATATAACCTGATCGCATAGCAGATGTCGTTCAAGCATATCGTAAATAACAAGAAATGAGCAAACGTTGAGACTTGAATTAAATTCCAAACAAATTGTCAAATACGCATATTACATCTTCCTATTTCCATATGGAATTGAAAACTTAAGGGAAATATTAAAATCACGTGTTGTTGTTGGACTATTTGTGTTCATTTAGATTACATTTTTGTAACAATTGCTAATAAACTTGTTGATTTGGGCATTCTTATATTCTTATATATTTCAATATTATGTATTTATTCAAACACACTTATTTTAATGTATGTGAATCCTATTGAATTAGAAGCTTTGCTATATATCTTTTTATTTATATATTTCTCATTGCTTGATCGTCTTGGAAACAAGTATTTCTTCTTTGAATGTTTGCCAGCTCAATCTTTCCGGAATACAAAACTATATGAAGTGCTTATTTCTGATTAAAAAAACAACATTTAAATGGTCCATTAAGGTTTTTTAATTATCTGGAAAGAAGGGGAGACATTTTGAGAGAAATAAAACAAAGTTCAATAATAATGGAAAATTGCAGACTCGGTTTGATTGAGAAATACTTAAAAGTTCGACGCCTGCATGCATCGGTTTAAGTTATACACAATTTTCAACACAATAAGGTATAAGAAATAATAAAACGGTGTTTGTTAAAATTTGTATCGGTTATAAATTTGAGATTTGTCAATCCAGTCATATTCAATTTACCAAGACTGGTCGGTTACTGCTCATTTAACAAGCCACTTCTAAGTCAGTAGAATTCTGTAGATTTCTCAGACAAATTCATTTTTGTTTCAGAACAATAAAATAAGACGGCAGTGTCAGAGTGCATATTTGTGGCAATTCAATAGTCCAGGATTTTACGATTTGTGAAACAAGAAACTACTTATTGTCTCGATGGTTGAAAGTTTTGTTTATAGCTTTCTTGTTTACTTCAGGGCAAACATATAAGTGCATACGTTCTGAAGATATTTGTCAAAGACTTTATAAGTGATACCCTGGGTCAAACAAATCTACAATAAATATATATTACTGTCTGGTCGGACACTTTTATACCAATTTTCGTTAAGTACTTTCGAGATCAGAATATAAATGAAGCAAAATTACAAGCAGGACATTCGGTTAACAGGCTGTACTGCTTAACAGTTTTACACGTTATGGCTTTTGATATATTTAGGATGTTTATGTACCTATATAAGACATAATTATGATTTAAGTTACAATTGATAATGTTAGGAGTTGATATCAACTTTCAATAAAGGTTATAATTGTGTGAAACCGCATTCCACCTTCCCTTTCCTATGCCCTTTGCAACAACTAAACAGATTTCATCGCTCAATTACGATTGTTTTTTTTTTTTGTTGTTTTTTGTTTGTTTGTTTTTTTTTATCTTTTTTATAGATCATTCGAAAATGTTTGCAGAAAGTCTTTATCATTTTGTTATAACTAGAGGACGTTGTTATTGTTAATTAAAAGTGGCGTGTGTCTGCAGGTTTTCGTGATCATTGTGTTCTAATTAGAGGACGTTATTATGGTTAATTAAAAGTGACATGTGTTTGTAAGATAACGAACCAAATATGCTGCTTATAATAAAACAATTGTTTCAATATATTACAGACAGTTGGTAAAACTTCACTTTGTAGACGATAACATATAATTAGTATATACCTCTCAAGCACTATAAGTTTCTTAATATATTATGAGAAGTATAAAAAGGACTCGATTAGTTAGTTTGTATACGCTGATTCAGCAATGTTTTGAGATCACATACCTCCTATAAGCAAGTTATTTATCGGATAGGACTTTTTACGTGGTCACGGAAAGCATGCACTCCTCATGCACAAGGTGACTAAAGCAATATTATTGAATTAAAAAGCAATGTGTATTTATATAAAAATAGCTTGTTTAAGCAACATTATTAAATTTGAAAAGAAAAGCAATGTGTAATTATATGAAAATAGCGTGTACAAGCAACATTATTGACTTCAAAAGGCAGTTTGTTTTATATAAAAATATCGTGTTTAAGCAACATTATTGAATTTGAAAAGAACAGCAATGTGTAATTATTTATAAAAAACAGCATGTACAAGCAACATTATTGAATTCAAAAAATGCTTTTTGTATTTATATAAAAATAGTGTGGTTAAGCAACATAATTGACTTTAAAAAGCAATGTGTATTTAATATATAAACATGGCGTGTTTCAGCAACATTATTGAATTAAAAAACAGCAAGATGTCTTTATTTTTTTTAAAAATGGCGTGTATAGTGATAAGAAGGTAAAATCGCAGCATTATAGTGTGTAATCAATCAAACATAAAATTTACATCAATAATTAAATCATATATTTCTATTTTTCAACATTACAATGTATAATTCACTTTTGAACTATAATCTATACAGTTTGGTTCTATATTATCTTTTCTTTAAGACAATAACGTCTGGAATTGAATAACAAAATTAATAGGAAAAGTATCATATGTTATTTTAGACATGTGTTAAATCAATCATGTTATTATCTCATTCAATATAAATATGAAATATGTTACAACTGACCTATAGCAGTGACGATATTGACTTCAGAAATACGATTTGTTCATTAACGTGCTTACGTAGAAATTCATAATTTGATTTGCAAGAAATTCAAGATAATATCAGGTTTTCATTGACCACGATGTTACTTTTTTAACTTATAATTAATCAAATAATCATGCGTTACCAACTATATCAGATGTAGTCATAAACGCCGGGAATTTTTGTCAAAAGTACCAAAAAAAACTAGAAATAAGAGGTTATGTGCTGCATCGTTTCAAAATTAATATGAGCAAAAATGAAGTTAGTGCCCCTTTGGTATCCATAGTGTATAAAAATGCACTGTTTTATCGGTAGTTTAAATTATTAATAACGGTACTCAGATGGGAATCATTGATTTCGGTACTTTTAAGTGTTGAGTGTTGAGGAAACATACCTTTTCCAGATTTTGGGGGAAGCTGTCACTCGAAATTTGCCATCAAGAGACTTTTACAAATTTGTACTAAATGGCTTGATAAAGACATCAATAAATACATGTATCTCTCACACAAAATTGATCATAGTTCTTGTTGATAATCATAATAATGAAAGCGTAAACCTTGCAGAAAACACCTCTCTGCTGCACTGTCCGAGAGCATATTTGTGGATATTCACCCAGGAGGATATTCACCCAGGAAGTAACAATTTGTGCAGCAAGAATATATTTTTATATCTCGTTCCTTGTAATTTTAATTTATGGCTTTACTTTGTGTGACTTCTGGGCAAATGTATAAGTACATATGGTCTGAAGATATTTGTTGTAGACAAAATGAGTGATGTCCTGAGTGCAACAAACCTACAATAAATATATATTACTGTCTAGTCGGACACTTTTATTATATCAATTATCTTTAAGATGTTTCGATCATCAGAAAATAAATTAAATGAAATTTGCAAGCTTGGCATTCTGTTATGGTTCATTCAGCATTACAGTTTTACAAAATATAATGCTTGATTTATTTGGGATGTTTACATACTTTTGTATTATGTTATAAATGGTGATGTTGTAGGTTGATCTTCTCTATTATAGCAGTTATATTTGTGTTAAATAGCAGGCCATCTTCCTGCATACCCTTTGCAACAACTAAGCAGATTTCATCGATTAATTATGATTGGTCAATTCTGGATAATTCGATCATGTCGTTCAAACAGGCTACAAATAGTATTATTGTTAACTAAAAGTGGCGCGTGTTTGTCATTTGATAATAAATATGCTGCTTAAAACAAATCAAACTAAAAAGGAAATTGTAAAAACATTACAGACAGCTATCAAAACACCTTCATAGAAAATATTGTACAACTGTTGTATAACACATAGATTATGCAATGTAAAGAAAGTTTTAATACAC